GGGTAAGAGGGAATGAACGAGCAGATTGGCTTGCTAGCAGGGCCATGGTAGGTACAGGAAAAGCACTGGACCGGGCTGACATTCTTAGTGCTCTCAATGAAGCAGGATGAGAAGATGATTCAGGAGAGGACATTTAGTTGGCAACATTCAAAATACTACAAGAATTTCACGTCAAAAGCGGTGTTTCCAAACATAAACACTATACAGTTAGCCAAAGAACGTTATACCAATCAAAAAGTGGTTTCCAAACATGAATACTAAACAGTTAGCCAAAGAATAACATTATATCAATCAAAAGCAGTGTTTCCAAACATGAATACTATACATTTAGCCAAAGAAGAACATTATACCAATCAAAAGCAGTGTTTCCAAACATGAATACTATACAGTTAGCCAAAGAATAACATTATATCAATCAAAAGCAGTGTTTCCAAACATGAATACTATACAGTTAGCCAAAGAAGAACATTATACCAATCAAAAGCGGTGTTTCCAAACATGAATACTATACAGTTAGCCAAAGAAGAACATTATACCAATCAAAAGCAGTGTTTCCAAACATGAATACTATACAGTTAGCCAAAGAAGAACATTATACCAATCAAAAGCAGTGTTTCCAAACATGAATACTATACAGTTAGCCAAAGAAGAACATTATACCAATCAAAAGCGGTGTTTCCAAACATGAATACTATACAGTTAGCCAAAGAATAACATTATATCAATCAAAAGCAGTGTTTCCAAACATGAATACTATACATTTAGCCAAAGAAGAACATTATACCAATCAAAAGCAGTGTTTCCAAACATGAATACTATACAGTTAGCCAAAGAATAACATTATATCAATCAAAAGCAGTGTTTCCAAACATGAATACTATACAGTTAGCCAAAAAAGATCATTATACTAATCAAAAGCGGTGTTTCCAAACATGGATACTATACAGTTAGCCAAAGAAGAACATTATACCAATCAAAAGCGGTGTTTCCAAACATGGATACTATACAGTTAGCCAAAGAAGAACATTATACCAATCAAAAGCAGTGTTTCCAAACATGAATACTATACAGTTAGCCAAAGAAGAACATTATACCAATCAAAAGCGGTGTTTCCAAACATGAATACTATACAGTTAGCCAAAGAAGAACATTATACCAATCAAAAGCAGTGTTTCCAAACATGAATACTATACAGTTAGCCAAAGAAGAACATTATATGACACAGAACTGGTGTTACCAGTTGCCACACGCTGAGGAATGTACTGAAGATGGGATCCGAGCACTTATGGACTTGTCCCATGTGCAGTGAGGATAATCTGTCGAATTAACTAACAAAGCTGTGCCTAAAGCCCTCGGTTGAACCTTCTCTTGTGTTGTTATGCTTGATAAGAGTTATCGGGCGAAAAATTATATTACTGTCAGTGCTGAGGTCCACACGCTTATCAGTGACAGTTCAGATGAGGCAGATGTGCTGATCTACAGAGATAGGTCCACTGTACAAGGACAAGAGTGCATGTGTATTGACAGCTTGCTCTACATGCAGAACAGTTCAGGAAGCCAACAGTGCCTTCCCTATGACTAATAGCCATATGAAGATGGAAGTAATGGAAATGACACAAGCTTTCATGTGGCTGTAATCACAGAACTGTTTCCACATGTGTGTGCTGAATGATTCTATGAACATGATATGACAGGTTAAGGCAGGCTCTGTACACAGATAGTGGCTTGAGTCACTGCGAAACTCCACAGTGAGAGGAGTTATCTTCATCTTTGTCCCATGATACGGGTGTTGTTGGCAATGAAAGAGCTGACAGATCAGCAGGTTCTGCTTTAGTTGCAGATGGCCGACCTATAGATCACGCCGACATTGTTAATACCCTTAGAGAGAAAAATTGGAAGATTTTGACAGCAGTATTTCCACAATACTGCTAAGAATATGAGAATTGGGAGTAAAGATTGGCACAGCCAGTTATGAGAGGCACACGGACAACAAGAAGTCTGGTGAACCAGCATAGGGCTGCACTATATATAAACTGTGGGACTCCGAGGTATGTGTTGAAAGGAGAATCTGAGCAATTGTGTATGTGTCTGGAGTGCAGAGTCGATAACTCACAGTCAGGACAGTTCCTATATGGGGCTGAGTGGTGGGATATAACCGCCTCTTGACTAGAACATCCTCAAGGTTACAGTCATATCTGTAGGTCCCTATGGGAAGTTCCGAGAAAATCATGTTTGTGACAGGTTCAGCCCCTAGGATGGAGAGGTGTCTGAGAAGGTTTTTCAGCATGGATTTGGTGAGGGTGGTTTTTTTTTTTTTTTTTAACGTATCCAGAAACCATGAGTTGTAAACCCTTTGGCTCGGTACTATGGATATCGCAACCCTTCGGCCTTGATTCCATTATAGGTACCGTTAATCTGGAAGAAATGTGGGGTAAGTGAAAGGATAGGTCTGTTGTGGTGATGTTTAGGCTTGGAAATGAGGGCTTCAGCACAGCTTATAGAAAGTGAGTGGTTAAAGGCAGCAGATAAGATGCTTTTAGGGTAACCACAAAAGAAACCAGCTTTAACTCCTTCAGACTCCATAATTAGCTACTTTATGAAGTAAAACTCAGCTTAGAAGGAATTAACAGAATCATAAACTGGTACTGGTACTACAAGAGTTAACGCTTAATCGACCCGTGAATAAAAAAATAATGCATTTCACATACTTTGTGCGGTGGACAGTCGGGGATTACATCAGTTTGCTATAGCATGCAATACATAGAGTTAGTTGTCTGTTCTTTACAGGAGGTTGCAGAACTGATCCCAACATTTGTTTTTTCTGTTTACGATTTTACTACGAAATTTTGCATTCAGTCATTTGCCATTGCATACTGAATGGTTGGCTCTCGACTGCACTGAAACCCACGCTAGGTGGTTTAAAGTTAACAATAAGTCATATATGGCCAGTACACAGTAGACAAGTTTGTGGCCAAATGGCACTAGTTTTGAAATACAAGCATGTAAATATATGCATCAGTTTTGAAATGCAAGCATGTGAATATGAACACTAAAAGAACACTATTCAACACAAAGTTTTTACCAATGCTAGCAATGTCAAACAGTGACACGGTCTTCCGAAGACAGAAGGAAAAAAATAACAACAGAAATTAAATGTTTACGTACTATGCTAGGTGAAACGAGGAAAGATCGACTTAGAAACCATGATATCAGGAGGAGAGTCTGCACAGAACCAATATTTAACTTTATAGGTAGACAACAAATCAAATGGTTTGGCCATGTAAATAGATTGGCATCAGACAGGGTACCACAGCGAGCAATGTTATACAGATACAATGGTAACAAAGCCAGAGGTCGACTATACTGAAAAGTATTTTATATTAAGCAAGCAGAAGGGCCCGTTCCGGAGATCTCTTCCTGCCCTAATGCTACGAGGCACTCTTGGAGTAGAGACAAGAAGTAGAAGAATGTGCAGACTGACAAACATTTCTACAATCATATGCTAATCCTGGTAGTACAGCCAGTTTACATTTGGATGTGGCATTTGTTTGTATTTTGATTAAAAAGTAATCATTTATTTGCACATAACTAGATCGAGCACAATATGCCAGGTAAAAAAAAATATTATATTTTGTTTGTTTTTGTATCTTTTTTGTTCACAGTTGCAACATGAAAACACGTCTCTGTCTTTCACTACCAGAGAATTTGAGGTGGTTGAAACATATGACCACTGAGCAGACAGGCAAACCTGCTAACAATTGCATCATCGCAGCCTATAAAACCGCATTTTGAAAAAATGTCAATATAATTTATAATATTCAAACGCAGTCAAATCGACTGTCCAGTTATGGGATGTAATCACTAAATATAAACTAAGCAAATAATTAACTGCTTTAACTCCCTTTGGCCAGGAAATGTATGCTTTTGTTAACATAGATAGGTCTGACTATGTGACATCACCATCATGTTGTTTTATTAGAGAAGGATAACATAACAATGACCCCCGCCCCCATAAAATTCTTTTTTCCGCACTCGGGGCATTCCCATAAGCACTCCATCCCCATCTTTAGCTGCCAGCTATGAGTTCTGATACTGATAATTCCAGTAGCATTCTGATTAAATGTCCGTCTTGCCTTTCCTCTGAGCCTCAAGCATCTGCCAGAACCTCTCGTCACTCTCCGCTGCATCAATCTCACCAGACTGTGGTGATCCATCTGCTCCACCGAACTGTACACGCTCTCCCACAAGGCACTAACAACGTCTGCCTTATCATGCATCAGTATTCTACCAAGCTGTGCAGAGCCAGCCAGTCTGTTCGCCTGTTCATTTCTCAACACACCGACTAAATCTGCTCCTTCGAACTGTACACGCTCTCCCACAAGGCACTAACCATGTCTGCCTTATCACGTATCAGTATTGCACCAAGCTGTGCAGAGCCAGCCAGTCTGTCCGCCTGTTCATTTCTCAACACACCGACTAAATCTGCTCCTTTGAACTGTACACGCTCTCCCACAAGGCACTAACCATGTCTGCCTTATCACGTATCAGTATTGCACCAAGCTGTGCAGAGCCAGCCAGTCTGTTCGCCTGTTCATTTCTCAACACACCGACTAAATCTGCTCCTTTGAACTGTACACGCTCTCCCACAAGGCACTAACCATGTCTGCCTTATCACGTATCAGTATTGCACCAAGCTGTGCCGAGCCAGCCAGTCTGTCTGCCTGTTAATTTCCCAACACGCTGGTGTACTCGGTGACAAATTCCAGATAATACTCCTCACCCTTTCTTTCTGTAATTGTACTCATCACATCTACACACTGCACTTGCATCCAGCACCTAAACTCTAATACAGGCATAGTGAGCAGTGCCCAACCAAAGACTAGATATCAATGAGAGGGTCAAGAGGCAGAAATTGTTATTCTGAGGTGCAGAAACTTTGGAATACAAGATGTTGCAGTAACAACAATGTTAATTATTTCTTCTCTATTGATCTGTTTCAGGATGAACTGTTCCATAAGTACAAAATGTCCAGTATCCAAATGATGGCCGGGGTCAACATGTTCTCCTGCTTGCTGACCAGTATCTCCCTCATTGAACAGGGAGGGTTTATTGACTCAGCAGCTTTCATGATCCGACATCCAGAGTTCCTTTTTGACGCCATTATACTTAGTATATGCTCCGCAGTGGGCCAGTTGTTTATTTTCTACACAATTTCTCAGTACGGTGCTGTTGTCTTTGTTATTATTATGACCATTAGGCAGGGTTTTGCAATTCTGTTGTCCTGTGTGATATATGGACACCCGGTCACTGTCATTGGAGTACTAGGGATCCTGGTTATTTTTGCTGCGTTGTTTTTGAGGATCTACGCCAGCCATAGGCAGAGACTTCTGAAAAGGGCTGCTGCATCTGCAGGTAGTAAAATTTAGAAAGCGCATTTCTGTTAGTTTCGCTCTCCGTGAGTTGACCATTGGTCATGTGTGTTTATTTAATAACTTATTTCTAGTGCGAAATATTGTTTTTAGCCACAGACAGAGCTATAAAAATAGTTGCTGCGTCTAGTGGGTGTAAAAGCTAGAAAGTGCATCTCTGTTAGTTTCTCTCTCCGTTAGGTGACCATTGGTCAAGTGTATTTATTTCATAATTTATTTCTAGAGCAGAATAGTTTTTGAGAATCTTAATTTAGCCACAAGTAGGGAGCTTTAGAAAGGGCTGCTGCCTCTTGAGGGAGGAAAAACTAGAAAGTCTGCATTTCTGTTTGTTTTTCTTCTCTCTCTTAGATGGCCATTGGTCAAGTGTGTTTATTTCATAATTTATTTCTGGTGCGGGACATAATCTTATGCTAGCCAAAGGCAGAGAACTGAAGCTCAGAGAATTGAATCTACAGTGGGTACAAGCTAGAAAGTCAGCATTTCTATAAGTAACGGAGTCAGTGGAGAAACAAGATATATTATGACCTGAGAGAATAGGGCACCTGGGTGTAACCAAAGGGTCTGGCTGGCTCACTACACTGAGAGGAAAGGCAAAATGGACATTTAACCAGATTGTGACCGGTACCATCAGTATTGAAACTCTGTGCTGGCTGCTGAAGATGAGGACAGAGCACACATGGGAATGCCCTGAGTGCTGTGATGTCAAATCTTGACTCAACTCAACTTGGCATTTCTAGAAAAAATTTCATTTAGTTTTAGTTCTCTTTATTAAATGACTATTGGTCACGTGTATTTATTTCATAACTGATTTCTAGTGCAGCATTACTGCTTTTGAAAATCTTATGCTAGCCACAGGCAGAGAGTTTTAAAAAGGACTCCTGTATCGAGAGGGTGTGAAAGCTAGAAAGTCTGCATGTCTAGTAATTTTTGTTCCCTCCGCTAAGTGACCATTGGTCATATGTATTTATTTCATAACTGATTTCATGTGTACGTCGGTTTTGACAATATTATGTTTGCCACAAGCAGAGAGCTTTAAAAAAAGGGCTGTAGCATCTTCAGAGAGAAACTAAAAAGTCTGCACTTGTATTAATATTTCTCTGCATGGTTATTAATTTATAGATCTTTTTATCGTTAATTATATGTTAAATAAATAACACATTATCATCTAAAATATACATAAGTTGCTCCCTGAATGACCAAATATATTTAAAGTTGTTAATTGAACAGTTTGTGATGCATGGAGTAAACTGTTTAAATGGGGTGAATTGTTTGATAGTGAAAATTGTTTAGTACAGATTTGATTGCACTTGCTGCTGAGATTGTTGCAAATAAGTTTTTTTTTTTAAACATAAAAAGTAAGTTAAAAGTAAAGGGCCCTTTTCCACACATTTCAGGCATATTAGGCATATAAGGCTAGACACCTATATTTTATAGATCAAACTGCACTTGGTGGGTGATGTGGTCAGCATCATGCCGGCTGCCTTTACTTTCCAGGACTGCACCTGCTGCCCACTCAAGGCTGGGTTGACCTGTAAGCCAAGGTCATTTTTGAACAAAAAAATCCGGCCCTCGTCAGGAACCGAACTCACGATCTACTGATCTTCAGGCTAGTGTCTAGCCGCTAGACCACAGTGGATCCCTTTCTTTTTTTTTTCAAATAGGATAGATTACTCCTTATTGAATGCTTTATCGGATCATTCATACAGAATTCATCATCATGTAGAGTGCCCTTTGCACAGCACCTCTCACCACCCATCCCGCCTCATATACTCTTCTTTTTTTTTGTCATCTCACTGGTGAAGGTTTGAAAAACGGATCGGCATCATGGCACAAGGGTAGTAACCCATACATGCGCAATTCTACTTTTAGCTCTAGCCTGAATCCGAAAAATCTCAGCGCTGTGCATGAACTCTGTAGCACCGGCGAGGATCCTGAAATACTTTCGGTAGATTTTTGCTCAAAATTTTACCTGGGCAGTGCCGTTAGGCTACTTTTTTTTAAATTTCTAACTGCTTAGGGATTTTTTACATGTGCAACAATACACACGGGCGTCTGATCTTACTACCTAGAAACCAGGGCAAGATACCAGGGGTTAGCCCCATGCACTTTCCTACCCAAGGTATCACTTGTATCCTGTGCCCATCTTTGGGCTGGTCGGCCCCTACCCCTCTTTCCTAATACCATACCTTCTGCTTTTATTTTTTTCCAATCCGCCATAGCACTTATTGTAGCCAAAATATTTCAGTTTCCGAGACAAAATGCTGTTTTCTAGCCAGTCTTTCTTTATGTTCAGGTCTTTTAGGATGTCATTATTTCTTTTCTTCTTTATATGTGGTATTCTAAAAACTTTCTATAGAATTTCAGCTCAAGAGCATCTGTTTTTTTCTTAAGGACTGTCATCATTGTCATCATCATTGTCATCATCATCATCATCATCATGGTTGTTGCCGTCGTCTTCATCATCATAAACCCCTTCTGCTGTTAAGCGTCATAGGGAGGAACAATTTGCTACCCAGTTGAGTTGAGTTGAGTCAAGAATTGACATCACAGCACTTGGGCATTCCCATACATGCCCCGTCCTCATCTTCAGCAGCCAGTGCAGAGTTCCAATACTGATGGAACCAGTCACAATCTGGTTAAAAGTCTGCCTTGCCTTTCCTCTTGAGTGTAGTGAGCCGGCCAGACCCTCTGGTTACACCAAGGTGCCTCATTCTCTCCAGACCATAATAATCATCTTTCTCTACTGATTCCGTTGCTTGTTCCCAAAGGGCCTTGACCACATCTGCCTTGCCATGTATCAGTTCACCACCCAGTGGTGCGGATCCAGCCAATATGTCTGTTTGTTTATTACCCACCACACCAGCATGGCCTGGAGAAAAAATCCAAAGTATGCTAACTACCCATGACCTTTCCAGTGAAGCTTGCCACTCTTCACCTTTCTCAACATGCTTTCAGATTCTGTTACAGTTACGACATGTGTATGCATCTTGTTCTCTAGCCACCGGAGAGCTGCAGTTACAGCTCCCACCTCCATTCTCATGCTAGATGTTGTGGTGTCATATGCTAGGCGGTCTTGCACTAAAGATTTTCCATTGGCTTTCCCTACAAACCCCTAGGCACTTCTCTTTCCTCTCAACACTGAACCATCTGTATAGATAATCAGATCACCTGGGCATGAATTTGTCGTGAAGCAACTGTTGGACTTCAACCTCCATAGCAACCACTGGCCACTCTCTGCACACTCGGCCCAATGTTATCATAACCCTACACAGGTCAGACTTTTCCGCTTGTACTCTGACCCACTCCTCTCCTTGCCCAATGTTCTCCAGCATGCATACTTTTCTTATTGTGACTTCTGCTTAAGCCATCCATGATTTTCCCCTTTTCAGCCTCTGACCCTTGCCTGCAGTCGAAGCTTCATACAGAGGGTGTTCCCTGTCTGCAGCTACTCTGAGGTGTGACTTACTTAGCCTGCAGCACCTTTAGCCTATATGCAATGGTCGGCAATGTAAGGATGTATTGCATGCACACAATTGGGGTATCTCTTGTACAACCCAGGATCAGCCGCATAGCTTCATTCTGTATGCACTCCACTTTCTCTTTTTTTGCTACCCAGTGTATGCTGGATGGCACCAGGCCATTACCATGCCAGGAAGGCGTAAAGTGTCTTTAATGGTGTCGCTCCATGTCTTTTTGTGGCTGTCCTCTTGCTGTTGTAGCTGCTCTTCTGAGATGTAGTGCCTGTGATAGTATTGAATGTTGCTACATTCTAACGAGATGGCCGAACCACTTGATCTGCTGTTTCTCGTCAAATCTAGTACAAGAAGTCGTATCCTCAGTCTGTCTGATAGTATCATTATTCAGTCAGTCTCGGATGGTTAGGTTTGTGACTTTTCTTAAGCATTTCCTGTGGTGATTCTGGGTACAGGGCATTAGATAATGTCCATGTTTGGCACCGGTAGTTCAATGCTGGAATAAAAATGCTGTTTATAATCTGTTTCTTTGCACTCCTAGTTAAGTTTGCCTTTAACGACTGTATATAGAATTAGCCAAGAATATTATATCGTGTGCGGCGATGAGTGTAGAACAGAACATAAGAATGAACTGCGAGCCCTATGTTATCTACGCTTCCTGGGCACTGAGAGTTGTGGGTTCATGTCCGGAAGGAGCTGGACTTTTTTTCAAAAGTGTCTTTGCCTTCCAGGTAGGCCCATCTCTAAATGGGTACCAGGTAAAGTCCTAGGAAATAAAGACGGCCGATGTGATGTTGACCACATCACCCACCGAGTGCTGATTGGTCTATAAAATATAGGTCTAGCCCTATATGCCCGAAGGCGGGGAAAGAGGGTCCTTTACTTTTTTTTTCTTACTTTATCTATGTGACCTTTGACAACGCAGTAGAATTGGAATGATGATGAGAGTGGTAATTCAAACCATGCTTAGATTTTTTTTATTTTTTAGTGCTGACCTTAGTCATTGTTCAAATCATTCATTTTTGTTTCTTTAAAATGTGCCAGTAATTGTTACTTTTTTAAAGACTTGGTGAGATCATTATTTTAGAATGAGCCAAGAATATTTATTGCCCCAAACAGGATGAGATTGTTCATATAGAATAATTCAAGAATGTTCATTGTTGAAAACTGTGGGATTGCTCATTTACAAGAGGATTCAAGTGATAACCTTAAAAGTGTGATGGAAATTATAATAACCAGGCCAGTTTCTTTTAACTTGCAGTATTGTTGTTGAGGATGTCAAGAGTGTTAAACACGTGACATCACAGTGTTAGATGAACATTGTGATGTCAGTTTGTAGATCGCTGTCCCACTTTTGACATGCACCAAAGAGAAGCAGCATTCTGTTATCTTTTTTTTTTTTTTTTTTTAATCCCTGAAGTGGTGATATCAGTAGAAGTTCATCCATGAATTCATCTGGACATCTTTAATGACAATATTGACAGGTTACAAGTCAATGACCTGTTTATTGTAGCATGTGTCACA